GTCCTGGAAACTCTGTCCTGTAGCAAGTCTCTAGCGAGCATCAGATTACTTTTCAAGACGTGGTTTGTAAGGATTAAATTTGTTTTTACAGGTTTGATCGCAGTTTGATGTCAGTTAGAGAACCATTGAAAATCAGGTAGTACTGGACAGTTGTTTCATCGCACTAGTTTGGGAATCACCGGCAGTACGCACCCACTAGGATTTGAACCCAAGACCTTCCGGTTACAAGGCAAGCTGGCTAATATATCATTCAGCCACTGGGACCCGATTCAGTGGCCACCCCATGAATTCTAACTTCTACCATTTCGTGAATTTAGCGCTACCCCAAGCAAACCAACTATAGAAAATTAATCTGACGCTCGCTAGTGACTTGCTACAGGATGGAGTTTCCTGGAGAAGTCGTGACCAGTGAGGCCCATCAAGTCAAGTGTGAGGATGGATGTCCCAGCAATGACATTGGTTGGGGTCGCGCTAAAATTCACGAATTGGTAGAAGTTAGAATTCATGGGGTGGCCACTGAATCGGGTCCCAGTGGCTGAATAGTATACGAGCGAGCTTTCCTTGTAATCGGAAGGTCCTGGGTTCGAACCCTACTGTGATGGGTGTGTACTGCCGATGATTCCGAAACCAGGATGAAACAGCTGGCTGTCCAATACTCCAATGCTAGTTTCCAATGGCTTTCTAAGTGATATCAATCCGTAATGAACTCGTATAACTCATTAAATCTTGCTTTATTACCCTTTGTTGCTTTTTTAAATTCGTATTGGGAAATAAATGTTTTCAAATATAATAAAAATGGTATGATGTTGGGTAATACCTTACGGCTGTTTTCAACATAAGACTTCTTAAAATCTGAATCACCTTGAGTAGATTTCACATTGTCGCATACTACTGTAAATTTAGTTTAAAAATCATCTGATCTTATTTTCTTCAAGGCATCAATACCTTTCAAGAGGATCAACATCTAGGAACTGTAGAAATAAATTCACCAAGAGCCTATTGCCCAACAAATATACGGAAAGAAAAGAAAAAGACTGGTTGGATATACACTGAGGAGATGGTTGAGTGACGTTATGCCTCAGGCAAACTGTCAATGGGACCCCAAATGGGATACGATGTGTGAGGCGTTAGTTCCCAGAATGACATGGAAAGGATCAAGTGAGGAGGAAGTGAAAGGTTTTGGAAAGTGGTGAAGCTAGCTAAAATAGTCTACAGTGACCTGGAGGAAATTGAGATGATTTTTTGAAGCCCTTTGTTCCACTCGAGAAGGGAGGAAGGGAATATTAAATTTTATTACGAAGCTATCTACACTTAGGCATGGATTCATGGTTCAGTCATGTTTCACTTAAAGTCATGCTTAGTATCTCAGACTGGCGTTTTGGCAACAGAAGATACTGATGCCATTCGTTTTCTTCTATTTCTTATATCCCCCTATTACCTTTCACTTATCTTTTCGCAAAGAAAAACAATAAAGACAGATGAATGTGATTGCTACTCTATATAAGCTCTAGTTGAAAGCATAGCTAAAATGTGACTTGTCAGTATGTAGGTATTTCCGGAATTGTTTTTCTTTTACATTTATAAATGCTGTAGGTAGATATCAAACTCAAATAATTCCTTTTGTTTAACCGATGAATCAACTTGATAGACAGTCCGACGAGTAGAAAAATATCTTTTTTAAATTACATTTTCTTTGTCGAGTGAAGTATAACGGCGATATCTAACCGTCTAGACTACAATTCATTCATATAGTTATCATAAATGCTTCTTCAAAATATTTATGTTTTTTTATTTCCTTCTCGTTCCCCAGTGAAATATAGGGCTTCAAGCTGGTGGCTTGAAGTTTCTGTAGCAGTGTTTATTTTACAGGATGTGGTTGCTAGCCTCATACCCAACCTTTCCTTTTCACCAGCATTATTTCTGGCTTAGCGAGGTAAAGGAGCGCGTCGGCCGGGGATCGAACCGCGGACCATGTGCATGGTTGGCGAGCGTCCTAACCACTATGCTACCGACGCACCTCGCAATATTTATGTGGGTAATTTTATTCACTGCAGGATGTTTGGTGTGAAAACTAAGAATAATTTATGTATCAAATAGAAACTAAATACTAACTTACGTTTATTTTATTTACTGACTATCAGTCAAGATGATCTTCTCATTGCCAACCATCAAAGAGATGTTATTTTCAAAAAGAGGCCAGCTATAGCCATACATACACTACCCCATTAGTATCGTATATTGTGGGATAGTGAGAAAATAATTCAGTCCAGTATACCCAAATTCAAGAACATTTACCAGCTTGGTTCAGCAGGCAGGGGGAAATTGAGTGCATAAAAAGCTCGATCCTGTCACACTTGGTCGATGCTGGACATCGCATCGATGTTAACACAGCTTTCAGGGTTATTTACCGAATTCGGAGAAGTTGCTTTCGCGTACAGTTTGCTTACGTTGCCTACATATAGCTGAAGCTGTTGCAACAAGATTGACTAAACCGGAACTTTTATCGAAAAAGAACGCATCCAGACGCTGTTCCTACCGTGGCTAAACTTGGATCAATGATTCTTCTTCTCACCAGGAGTGCTTCTTCCCCTAAACCCTCTTGGTTTTTTCTTTCTTTGCTTATTATTACAATTATTATTCGTCATAATTTATACCCTTCATGCAAACATTCTCTCAATGCAATCGAATTTTCCATTTATTATGCTATCCGGACCTATTATTACTACTACTACCTCTTTTCTCAATATATGCCTCCATCGGTTTCATTTCACACATTGGTTATTTCATTATGAACCTCTCATTGCAGTCGCACTATCTCCTCCACTTTAATACATACCACTTTGTACTAGCCACTCACTCACCTAACACCTTTTATAACCTTGGACTAACTTATCAGTTTTCCTACCCCACACTCTACAAATCTGTTATGAATAATCACCACCACTGTCTCCCACTTTACATTATTTTGTAATCGATTTCAGCCTAGCACGTTTGTCACACAAATACGACTATTTATTCTGACACCCCATAACTGCTAATCTGTTATTCTACGTTAAAAATGTATCCACCGCATAACTAACTGGCTATCATTATTGTAACGACAATAAATATTAAATTTTATGATTGTGTGTGAACCTGAAGAGAAGAACTTATTCAAAAGAATATTCCTCGTTCAGAATGACTGTAAATTCAACATACCCAGGCTAACAGACACACTGATTATAGAACCTTTATTCATCGAATCAGCACAGAATACAGCCAACCGGATAATTATGCTGCAAAAAAATTCACTAAAGGAATAAGGCTGCAAACAAGAAAGACTCTACCAAATAAGACAGTTGTGCGATTTCTTGATATGTTTATGATCTTAAATATGTGCGTGGTTAGGACTCTCGCCGACCATGCACATGGTCCGGGGTTCGATCCCCTGCCAACGCATACCCGATATCTATGATCGGCCTGCGAAATTTGGGCTACCGATACCCATGCTGAAAATTCCATACTTGTACTGGCATCAAGCTGTAATCAAAATAAAAATAATATATACTACAATGTTATGTACCTCTAAGGAACCATAACAACAGACGACCGACAAAAATACTGGATCACCTGATAGACGATATTCCCCTCTTTCTGTAGAGCAAAAATTTAAGTTTTCAAGAGTTGGTTTATGGGGATTTCACTTGTTTGAAGTTTAGTCACTTAGTGATGACAGTTTAAGAAACATTGAAAACCTGTAGGTACTGTACTGCTGTGTCGTCCTGGCTTGGGCCTCTTCGGCAGTATGAACTCATCAGCACTCGAACCAGTTATAGTGCAAGTTGACGGACCATTCAACCACTGGGACCCAATCCAACAGCCCATGAATTCCAACTTCTTTCAATTTATGATTTTAGCGCGACCACCTTTCCTGACCAAACTTGAAACAAATCGAGTTCCAATAAGGTAACTCTTGAGAATCAGTCTGTTGTTAGCTGCTGAGTGACTACTGGATGAATCTGCCTTGAGCTATAGTGAGAAGTAGTGAACAGTGGGGTTCATCAGGTCGTGAGTGAACATAATTACTCGCCAGTGTCATTGGCTGGTGTCCGCGCAAAATATCACTAATTAGTGGAAGCAAGAATTAACGGACCATTGAATAGAGTGTCAGTGGCCGAATGGACTGAGAGCATTCCTTGTAACCAGAAGGTTCTGTGTTCGAACTCCGGTGGGTGTTCCAGATGAAAATGAAACAACTTTCGAGTACTTCCTTGTTTTCACTGGCTCTCTAGCGGTCATCCGTCCGTAATCAAACTTGAAAAAACTTAAGGACTACAAGCTGCTTTGCCTATAAAATAGTAGTCGCAAGCTGACAATTTCCCGTGATAACATTTTTGTCTGATAGCCAGCCATCTCGGTTACACATGAATCATGCTATGGCCTACTTCTCTCCTTTCAACAGTGAGATATGCGTATGTACGAATTTTATGAGTATAAGATAATTATTTATGCATATTGTTAGTGCGGACGTGTACACGCACATACACACGCACATACACACGCACACACACACGTATATATCATACATATGTTTATTTGTGTGTGTGTGCATGTGTGCGTATGCGTATGTATAGCTATTTGATTGCCTAGAAAATAGTAGTAATTTGCCTTATATGTTTGACTCACCTGTCTTTCTCTCCTCTCCTCTCAAATGTCTCTATCTATAATAATAATAAAACACGGTTTCTCTACCAATATTATGTGACTTTCCCTAAAGTAGAGAAAAACACACAGAGAGGTCACAATTTTCTTTCTACATGAAAGAGAAAAGTTTACATTTTGAGTTTACTTTAGGGAAAAATTTCTCAGAGTTTCTGTTTTAATGTCTTGCTTGCTCGTAAGACGACCATACACATGATCATCATATAATAATATGTGGCTATTTAGTTTCTCTATCTTCAAGTTAAACAAGTGAATGAATGGCACTGCATTTTTACTAATTATCAGATAAATACCACTATTATTATCATTATTCTAATAATGATGAAGAATGTTGGATACAAAAATGACTACTGTCAATATTTGTGATGCAAAAATGCTGATTTATCCACTTCTATATGCACTATACTACTTACAAGTATTATGTACTTGTTGCGATTTCAATGTAATACCTTTAGTGAACTTTTGGATTGAAGAGAATATTGAAAAGGGCACGTTTATTGGTCAATTATCCTCACTGTCGTCATCATCATCAGCCTCAGTTGCTTCGCTATCTCCAATCGATTCAATAAAATTTGCCTCTACATCATCCACCTGTGCCTATACAAGTTTAGCTCAACAGCCTATATCAAATTATTTTCATATTGATTCAAATGATGGTGGGATATATGCACTGAGGAGAGTGGATCGTGAAGCTCTATGCAGTGAAGATTATGTATTAGAGCGTATCAGGAGACATATCAGTGATAAGACGCCAAAATCTGGAAATTTATCTCATAATAATAATAATACAAGTAGTATAGACGAGAATTCCAACAAAGTACAACACACTGTCTTATCCAATAATAATCAAACTAATCAGGAGAGCCATACGACAGTCACTGTAACAACAAATGCTACAAGACATTACAGGAATGTCAATCATGCAGTGGATATTAGCCAGACACCAGCAACAACAGCAACAACAGCAAGCGTATGCCAAATTAAATTTCAAGTTCTCATTAGTGATACTACTGGTATCAAGTCTAAAAGTAATATGCTACAAAATGTACAAATTACAATATCTGATTTAAATGATAATATACCACAGTTTAATGTACAAAATTTCTCCCTGAAAATACCTGAATCATCACCGATAGACGCAGAATTCCGATTACCACAAGCAAATGATATGGATACTGGAGTGAATGGTATCTCTGAATATCGATTAGTTCCTTGTATTCATGCAGATGTTGGTGATGAAATTCCCTCATCATATCTACTACGCATGTGTCATAAACAAGAAATGAATCTGGTGCAGAAATATTCAGAAACTAGTGTTTTTATTGATCTTGACAGCAACAAGAACATCAAGAGGTCATCTTCCAGTGAATATACGGAAGAGTCTTTGTCGCGAAACTATGCTGGTGATTATTTTATGCTGAAAACTAATCTACGCTCAGATGGTAAACTACAACCGATATTAAAACAGATTCGACTGTTGGATAGAGAACAGGTGGCATGGTTGTATTTATGTTTGGTAGCTGTCGATGGAGGCGGTCAGCAAGGCTTTACTTGTGGTTATATTGAAATTATTGATGCAAATGACAATGTACCCCAATGGATTGATTTACCCTACAGAGTTTCTGTGAGTGAATGTGAACCGGATAAACAGAATATCTATGCAGCAAATATCAATAATAACAATCACATGTTTCAGTCACAAATTCCATCGCTTCGTCACTTGTATACCCTGAAAGCTAAGGATAGCGATAGTGGTATATACGGACAAATCACTTATCGACTAGCACCCAGTACAATGACTGGACACAAAAGACTTCAGCACAATCAACCAAAAGTAATGATTAAAGAGGATAAATTGTATTTATTATCAAAATTAGATTATGAACAGTTGACAAAATTTGTCGTGTACGTCGAAGCTGTAGACGGTGGTGGATTGGTTAATTTCACTGATGTTGAAGTCACTGTTGAAGACTGTAATGATCATGCACCGACAATCATGTTGATCCCGGTAAGGAGTTCATCGCGTACTACCACTACTACGACTACTACGACAACAAACATTAACAATAAAACATACGGGATTAGTAAAACAAACATCCACAGTATGTTATCATTTCCAGTTTTACCTACATCAAATATGGATTTATGGATGGAAGAAGAGAATTATGATCAAATTAAACTAGCGACTATAATGTCTTTTGATCGGGATAAAAAGGACAACGGTCGAGTGACTTGTTATCTTGACAAATCGGGACAGTTTTTAGATAGTTTTGATTATAGTCAAATATTTGAATTGTTATCGAATCAACCGACAATCAACGCTATTAGCAGTAGTAGTATTAGTAGCACCCCTACTGTGACTACTGATGAAGACCTCAGTAGTAGTATGAAACAAACTGATATTTATGGTAATATTACACTGACAAATAAACCGTCAATATTCAGTTTGTACAAAAAGAGTGGAATTAAAGTCGATAGAGAAGAGAGCCAAAAATTACTCTTTGATATTGTTTGTACAGATAATGGTGAAGTGAATCCACAGATAACAAGGCGTACTGTCCACGTTTTTATCGGTGATATAAACGATAATCCGCCGCAGATACTAACAACAAACGACTTGTTGAGCCATGCAGCTTCTAGTAGAGATAAAGAGGCGGTGGAACGTCCATTTATTAGTCAGGTATTCAGTGTACCAGAAAATGAACCATTCGGTACATATGTTGGCACTGTTATGGCTAAAGACATTGATGAAGGCATCAATTCAAAACTGCTCTATAGTTTCATATCAACATCATTAGTAGATAATTCTGTGAGTGAAAGTGATTCTAAAGATGTCTTTGAAATTGATCGACTGACGGGGAGAATTACTACACGAGTTCCTTTAGATCGTGAAACACAATCAAGTTATGTGCTGAATGTGCAAGTTATGGATTCTGGTGAGCCACCTTTATCTTCCACATGTTATATACAAATAAATGTCGCCGATGTGAACGATATGCCTCCAATATTTGAAACTTCAGATCCTAGTGGTAGGATAGTGTTCCAAGTGACAGAATCAGTCGGTAATCGTCGTGTACATGGTCGCCTAGTTGGACGTCTTAAAGCTTATGATAATGATCTGGGATCGAATCAAACAATTCGTTTTGCTTTTGTAAATGGATCTCTTTTTCCAAATCAATTACCAGTCACTTATCGTATATCTTTAGATGGTCATATTTATGCAGATGGTATAATGGATAGAGAAGCCTACAAAGAGCATCAGTTCACAGTGATAGCAGTTGACGGTGCATCGACGCATCATCAATTGACAAGCACAGCGGTTGTTTTAGTCACATTACTTGATATAAACGACAATCCACCTCAATTTATCTATCCGCCTAGTACTACATCAAATAAAATCCCATCTGATCTCATTAATATAACAGTAGACACATCGCCGGGAACTATTCTCTACTCTGTACGTGTAACTGATTTAGATGAACCACAAAATACAAAGATTACCTTTGCACTACATTCAGCACGATTTTTATCCGATTACTTTACACTGAAACAGAATGATGTACATATATCTGAAACAGACGGTTACACTGAAGTCAACGCTGATCTAATTCTTGTGAACTCGTTAACACAGTTACTGCCAACATATAAAGTGAAGCATACAAGAACTGGGGACAGTGTGAATAAAAAGCTTACTGGTGAAGCTGCAGCCTTACCATTGACAAAAGCCGCTGATGTACAACAACATCCTTATCCAACAGAGTATTTTTTGTATATAATTGTTAAAGATAGTGATAAGGATTCAGGATTCACATCCACTGCACGTTTACGAATTCATGTATACACTGAAAGCACATCGCTGTATCCATTATATTCATCATCATCAAGTATAACATCTTCAAGACACAGGTCAAATGTATCCTCTGCAGCCTCAGAGTTATTACAGGCTAAAAATTTTGAAATGTACAAACAACAACATTCAGATGGTGCCGTGTATAGTGTAGACAAATTTAATACTTATGGTGCTGAACTTAAAGACACTGGACAGTTGTATCAAAATAAACTCGTTAGTCATAATAACAATAACAATAACAGTAATAGTAATAATATGACAGTTTTGTTAATTGTATCTATAATTATTATTTGTATATTTATTGGAGTGTTCTGTTCTGTAGCAATATTTTATATACGAGGTAATGTAGCTAACTGTCAAGAGGTTAACAGACCAAGATCATCAGAAATTTATACAACTACACAACCTTCATGTACTGACAATTGGTCTGTTGGGGAATTAAGTGAACCGTGTAAAACACCTTCAAGTTGGGAAACATTAAATTGTAAAGGTGAGTTTAATTATTTTGACATGTTGGTTGTTTGTTTTGCTTCTTTTTTTTGCCATACTTTTTGATACCATTGGACTCATTGGCAATACGTAACTAGGACCTTTGGGTTACAACACAAGTCCTAAGATTATTCACTCACTGGGAGCTGACTCAACCAGTACATGAATTCTAATTTCTACCAATTCGTGATTTTAGCGTGACACGTCAGCCCAGCATCATCGGCCAGTGATTGTTCTCACTTCTAACCTAGAAGTCTAGGGAACGCTTTTTGTTTCACGTTTGACCACGGATTGGTATCGGGTACAGAACTGTTGAAAACTAGCAAGGCGTACTGGAAACCTTTTTAGTCCTGCCGATGAGTCCTATGCTGGGACGAAACATCTGTTCAGTACTCCCCGTTGGTTTTCAGTGGTTCTTTACATGATATCAATCAGTGATCAAGGTTGAAACAAATAAAAACGTCATATGCTTATCACATTTGTTCTGATTTTGTTACTTCATTGTCGGGGAGTTGGTGGGAGGATGGTTGTTGGAAACCATAAGAATTCTTACTCCACCATTCCTATTCTGACAATCTGGATTTTATTGAGTATGAATTACTTCTGATGTCAGACGTTATTTGTAACTTTTGATATTTTCCTGGATGATTTCAGTACTGTCAAAACCAGTTTTATGTTTTTATAGAGTGTACACCTATGGCTGACGACTTTTCAAGATGTTTTAGTTCCACTGGACTTCGTAGTGGTAGAATGGAGGCTCTACGGTGTTGATTTCTTCTAATCTTGATTTTTCGTGAGGTTCGTCTGATTCATATCACAGTAGATTCCAAGCATTTTATTTCATAGACACAATTAGATTGTAAATCCTTTGGAATTCGGTCTTTTATGTGGACACGGTAGCTTTTTAGTGTGTCTGATGTCTTGAATAAAACTCTAATGTTGTGTTTGTTGAGTACTCTTCCGATATCATGTGATTTTTATGATCTATATGGAATGATAACTGTTGAGGCCCATGTCTCCGGAATACGTTTTCACTCATAGTTAATGCTGGTGTTAATTTTGGTAATGAAGTACTTTGGATAGTTATTTATCTTGAGAATTTCTCACCCGTTATCACCAAAGAGTGCGCTTGTCTAAGAAGACTTCCGATTTAAAAAAAATACTTTGATAAAACTATTAGCATTAAATAGCGAAGTGTCAGTAAAAACAATATCGTTTCGTTTTCATTCACTGGGAAATACAAAATTGTTTATAGTAATGAGTTTTTATATTATCCTCTTTCTAGATTTATTAAATGAACCCTGCTCACAGTAGAACTCCACTCAATCTTTACTACCTGTAAATTGTCCATTGTTCTTAGAAAAATAAACCTCAGCTCGTCTGGTCAATTTTACTATTTCATGGAGGATTTCATCATGGGCTGACATCAGTTAGAGAACCACTGGAAAACCTGGGAGTACTGGACAGCTGCTTCGTCCTAGTTTGGGACTCTTCATCAGTACGCACCCACCAGTTGTTCTCTAACTGATGTCAGCTCATAATGAAATCCTCCATGTAATCAAACAAAATCCCTACAAAACCAATACTTGAAAATTTTACTATTTGTTAGCAGAAATGCTGTCTCAGTATGCTAAAGGAAATGGCGTAGTGGTTGTCTGTGCCATTTGTCATCACATTTTTCATTCTCAGGTAGTATGTGGTGATTGTCGCCGGCTTTTATGATAGCTGGGCATCAAACTAGATCTTCAGCTGTACGTGAAACCGATTTTGTTTTCCAGATAGCTCATTGTTGAAGCGTTTATCTTTAGGTAATAAAATACAAAGAATACAGATCGTTTAATTCACTTACACTTTAATCCTGGTATCTTTAGATACAATAAACAACAGTTAATTATTCTGTAACTGTTGTTATCGTTGTTGTCTTGGAAATTATCGCTTCTTTGTGGAAGTCATTCTGCTCCCAGAATAAGCGGGAAGGATTCCTTTAAAACCTTTTGTCGATAGTCAGGGTCTTTTCTCATTTCTACAATTAATTTCATGTGATTATTATAACTAAAAATTATATAACAGTATAATATTAATGGGATGGACAAATATTTCAGAATAGTTGTCTAATACGTTAAATAGTTTTCTTTTTCCTAACGAAGGCAGGTGTGAGAGAGTTGAGCATAGAAAGGAATTAAAATAACAGTTTTTGTATGACTAAAGATGAAAAAATGAAGGGGATGAAAATAAACAATAGCTAAGTAGCTTAACATAACTAAATTGACGACAGTAAAATGACTAAAAATATAAATGGTTAAATAACTGTGGGGGGGAGGGGTGGTGTACTAAGATATGTGACTGTGATGATATATATATATATATATATTTCTAGGGATCTGACATACATTATCTTTTAAGAAATTATTTTCTGGCTGTATAATTAGAAATAGGCAACTGAATTCCATAAACTCGGGCCAAAGAGAGCTAGATCCACTGTAAATGGAGGGGTCGGACTAATTTCTTTTGTAAATGTAGCTCCAGCTTTATGTTGCGTATGACCAGGTCTTCTTCAGTACAAAGAATTCAGAAATACCCTTATTTTGGTAGATTTTGTTTACTTTGTAAATGACTCTGAATGATGAGTCACCTGAGATGCTGTGACAAGTGCTCACAAGGTGTTCAGTTATGGCGTTTCTGATTGAACCGGTGCCTTCTCTTCACAGCCGTACTGGATAATGTTCTGTAAAACGTTTTGAAAGGATGCGCATATAATAACTTACCTATTTAGCTGCACAGTAGCAGAGAACTGATATAATAATAATAAATAATATATTGCACGTTTCAGTGGTCATATGCGGAGGTTTGTCTTTCACATTGCTTAGACGCAGTAGGCGGTTAAAGAATATCACAATTTGCCTTCCTTGTGGAGCTAGACGTTCCCCTCTTTAGGATATTTGCTGCTAAGTCTTCTCTTAATTCCAAATTAATAAACAGTGTCTTTTTGGCTTTGGTTTCATGTTCTTCTCCAGGAAAAGGGCCGGGTATCCATTTTCAGCTAGGAAATTTTTGAGAAATAGGAACTCTTCTTCTTAGTAGTTAATGCTGCAGCAAATGAAATGATGAGATGTATTTGACAGCTCACAGGTATCTAACTATCGTATTTTATTAGCATATCACTTCAGAGTGCTTTTCTGTGAATAGATCTTTTCTGTGTCCTATCATCTATTCTTGTCAATTCTACAACCGAAGAAACAAACAAATGTTTAGGTAGAAGTAGTCGATAAAGGCTAAGAAAAGCAAATGATTGTGAAATGCTAGATTGTAAGAGAAGTAAATAAAATACGTTTTTAATGAAGATGTGATAAGATTAAGAGATGATAAGAGAGGGGTTGAAAATATTGTTCACTTAAATGTGTTGTTCTAAATTTTACTATGAGAATATTTAATATTTAACACTGTGAGTTTAATTGAAGGATGACAATTATGAAATCAAAGAACAAATCAAATTCCTACAAATCAACTCTTGAGAATCAATATGATACTGTCTAGTGACTTGTTACAGGACGGAGTTTCCAGGACTACTAGTGAGAAGTCGTGACCAGTGAAGTTCATCTAGTTGGCAGTGGGGATGGAGTTTCCACCGATGACATCTGTTGGTGGTCGCCTTAAATTCACGAATCGGTAGGAGTAAGAATTCATGGGCTATTGGTCCGGGTCCCAGCAGCTGAATGGTATACGACCTTGTCTTGTAATCGGGAGGTCCTGCATTCAAAACCGAGTGGGTGCGTACTGCTGATTATTGTCAAACTAGGACATACAGCTGTCCAGTACTCACTGGTTATCTAACTGGTATCAATCAGTGGTCGAACTCGAGAAACAAGTCAAATCCTTGCAAATTAACTCTTAGGGAATTATTAAATTCTTGTAAAATGCAATATTAAACGAAATCATTATGACAGATTATAAAAAATAAATAAATAAACTTTTGTGCAAGTTACAAATCGAACTCCATCACCTCTGATGAGCTGTGTCTTTCATCTAACTGCATCACACGTCGTATATATCTGTAATGCTGCCATATGAAGAGAGGGAACCTCTGAAATCTTAAGCAGAATTCTTAACCAAGTGGGAATACAAGTGGTATTTAGACAAAAGAACTCACTTAGGAACAAATTATTTCGGTTTAAGCATTCTGTAGAGCTGACTGAACAATAGCCTGTAATTGGTGTCAGGTCATATTCATAGGTCAAAGTAGTGGGCCTGTTCAGCTATAGCACACTATATTTGGTTACACACAACCATACAGACAAATGCGAGAAAGCGACAGTTTGGGAATCTGATGTAAATGGGTGCAAGGAGAGATGGTTAACTGAAGCTTTATTTATCGAATCCACTGAGAATACATGCAATAGGGAATGATTTTTAAAAACTGTCCCATACACTTAAAAAATTCCATTATCCTTACGACAGATGGTAAGGAAAAATGAGAATTATAAAAGTCTGATTTTTGGGTTGATATCAGTTGGAAGACCATTTGAAACCAGCAAGGAGCGTTTGAAGGCTGTTTCTCCCTAGTTTGGGACTCAGTCAGCAGTACCCGCCAGGATTCGAGCCCAGCACCTTGTGGTTTCAAGGTATGCTCGTAAACCCCCCCTCCAATCAGTGTAACCCAATTGAATGGTCCATGGATTCCAACGTCTACCAACTCCTGATGTCAGCGCGACCATCAGCCAATGATATCCACGTGTTGAATTGTCTACAGGATGAAGCTGACCAGAGTTCTGGTAAGGAGTCGTAACCAACATGGTCCACTAAGTTGGGTGATAGGAAAAATACCCACCGATGACACTGTTTGCTGGTCGAACCAAAATCACGAATTAGCATTAGCTGGAACTGATAGGCCATTGGATATGGTCGCAGTGTCCAAACGGTCAACAAGCTTACCAGGGTTCTGTCTCGAACCCTAGCAGCGGATGGGTCCAGTTGGAGAGGTCCAGACTAGGACGAAAAAGCTGC